AATTGACGTAATTTATTATTATACACAAAAAACAGCTTTTTGCCTCACGTCCTCTGGTTCGAGAAACAAAATGTTAAATATTAGAAAACATGACGTATTGTGGAGCATAATGTTTACTACATCAATTTAATTTAAATATTTATTTATAATCCAATAATATTCTCAGCATATTTTGTGAATATTCCAATGGAGTATAAATAGGGATGTCATAACTATTCAGGGACACCAAGTCATCTGTGTTACAAATATATCTATAACAGTCATGTCCTTATGACCGCGACCGTAACTTCCAGGAAGGAGGGGAGGAGGCAGGACACGGGGAGGGGCAGCAGGGAGGACAAGGGGAGGGGCAGCAGGGAGAACAATGGGAGGGACAGGAGGGAGGACAATGGGAGGGACAGGAGGGAGGACAATGGGAGGGACAGGAGGGAGGACAATGGGAGGGACAAGTGGGGGGAGGGTCCAGGACGAGAGGAGAGCTAGCAAGAAGGACGAATACAGATACTTGGATATGTAGAAAGATGGATGGATAGATGAGTTGATATATGGATAGATAGACGAATACAGATGGATTGATACTTGGATTCATTGAAGGCTAGATAGGTCGATTGATGAGTAGATGGATGCAAAAGTGAGTAGATGGAGGGATAGATGTATGGATAGATGAGTAAATGGATGAATATATAGATGGATAGAATAATAGATTGATGGATGGACAGATGAAGAGTAAATGATTATATAGCTAATGATTAGATTGATGGGTGGATAGATGCATAAATGGATAGATGAATAGTTACTTGGATAGATACATAGATGGATGGATTGATCGATGGACAGATTGTGTGTGTGTGTGTGTGTGTACTCACCTATTTGTGTCTGTAGGATTGAGCATTACCTCTTGGACCCCATCTTTCTAACCAATTTATTTGTCTTCTATTATGTCTACTACATATATATATATATATATTTAACATTCACACGCACGCACACACACACACACATCCCCAGTAAGGAGTCCGTAACAGCTGTCTAAGTCCCAGGGGCCAGATTCACGACGGTACTTACGAATGTTTTTCCTTCTTAGCACCTTCGTAGCAGCTATGTTGGTATTCAGGTAGTCACACTAAGAAGGAAAACCTTCGTAAGTTTGCTCTGTCGGCTAAGGTTGCCCTCGACCACTCGTAGCTTTAAGTAAACTGGATATAACTCAATTTTTCTCTACTACACAACACGGAGGATCGATTTGATTATAAACGAACGATTTGAGTTGGTGAATCTCGTGAAGAGGAGTCCTACGTGTTAGTTATATATACATTCTCTGCCTGAAACTTGCAGTAAATATGTCTTATGATATTAGAATTAGTTTTATAATACCAAGATATTATACCAATAGTTATTAAGTAAATAAACACTGGTAAACATGAAATATAAGAGAAGGGGGCTGGTGGGAGCACTTACTATCACCAAATGCCCCACTGGACAAATGATGTTAGGTAAGAAAGGGTAAAAACTTCAAAAACTTCTCTCATTGAATACTTAAACCTATAATTATGACTGTATGGACTATTATGACCTGGAAAAAAAGAGAGGGGGGGGGGAAGTAGGGGTCCAAGACCTATTCCTGTTACACAATTTGGCTGTGAGTAACAATAAGTAATTTATTTATTTATTTATTAATATATATATAAGAAGGTACATTGGGTTTGTGAGGATACATAGCATGGTGTTTACATTCTTGTAAAGCTACTAGTACACACAGAGTTTCGGGCACGTCGAATTATCTAACAGATAATTCTAAGTAGGTAAATTCTAGCAATATTTATAAAATGATAACTGGTACATTGCAAGAAAAAATGAGATGAGAGGGATTAGTTGGTATATTAAAGCACATCGGTAGCTCTGATTGATTGCATTGACAGCTTGGTTGGTAATTTAACAAAGATTAATAGTACAATACAGTATTTTGATAGCACATATAAAAAGACAGCAATGATCACAATGGTAAAGTTGTTTGGATTAGGTACATAAAGATTGGGGGATTGGGTAGCACTAGATACAGTGCAATTTTAAAGCCCATGGTACGAAACTATGAAGATGAATTTAGGCATTTTTTTGGTTTTGTTTTTCAATGAGGCAAATATAGAGTATATATAGTTAAATATAGGAAGGCAAATATAGGAATAAAAATGAGGCAAATATAGACTTTTGAATAAAGCACAATGTAAGAAACTATGAAGATGAAATTAGGTACTTTTTGTTTTTGTTTTTGAATGAGGCAAAAGTTGGACAGCTTTTCAACTCATTAGGGAGTGAGTTCCATAGACTAGGTCTCTTTATTTGCATAGTGTTTACACAGATTAAGTTTTGACTCTGGGGATATCAAAGCTGTAAAAATATTGATGCAGTTATTTAAATAAAAAAAATAATGAAAGAAATATTACTGGTTTATTCTATCTTTTTGTCCGTCCAAGTGGTTAGGCACCATTCCTTTCCCCCGTTC